ATAATGTTCGTGAGCAAAAACATTGTCTAGCTAAACAAAATTATAATTCCTTTACAATGAATGATGATGAGCTTGTTCGTGATATGTATTCTCGTTTGAATCTAATTATCAATAAGCTCCATTCAATAGGATTAACAAAGCTAGATGATGCGGACATCGTGAGGAAGATCATCTCCGTGCTACCACAAAAAAGAAATATGCAAGCATCATCACCATCCTTCACAACATGGAGAACTTGAGCACCATGACCCCGGGCATAGTCATTGGCAAGATAGTGACATTTGAAATATCACGTAAGATGGGTCAAGACGAAGCCTCTTCATCGAGCAAAGGCAAAGCTCTCGCATGTAGCGAGAAAAAGAAGATGAAGGGCAAGCAAGTTGAGACAAGCTCAAGCTCAAGCTCCTCAAGTGAAGATGAGGAAGAAGATGAGGATGATGATGAAGATTCAAGTGATGATGATCAATCTTTCTCCTCCACCTCCGACCTTGATGAAGAATCAATCAAACTTATCAACAAGGTGGAGAAGATGATCCAAAGGCTCAATGTCAAGGATGTGCCCATCCAAATCCAAGATCTCATTTTCACCAATCAAAGAAATGAGCAAAGAAAGAGAGGATGTTATGGATGCGACGAGTTGGGACACTTTGTAGAAGTTTATCCAAACAAGCCCACACCCAAGACAAAGAAGAAGACATGCAGGAACCAAGCCCTCACATCAATAAGGTCATGGGATGATTCTTCAAGTGAAGAAGAACACCATCACAAGAGGCGAGGGCGCAAGCACTCATCATCAAGCTCTTCTCATATGTGCCTTATGGCACGAGGTAACGAAAGCTCATCCTCTAGTGAGAGTGATAGTGATGATGAAATGCCTTCTTATGATGAAATTGTGCAACAAAATCTTAATTATGCTAAAGTTTGCACTAGTCAATAAAAGAAGCTCGAAAAATTAAAAGAAAAGCTAGATAGTTCACAAGAAGCATACAAAACTTTGCTTGAACAATATGAGAACTTTGCTAATCTCAATGTTGAACTATCTACTAAAATTGAGCAACTTGAGGCTAGTGCAATAACAAATGCATGCACAATCAATGATGAGCAACTTCTAAAGAAAAATGGAAAATAAAAAAAAAGTTAGCTAGCTCAAAAGATGCTTATAAAAGTTTGCTTGCTAAAATAGAAACCATGTATAAACATTGTGATGAGCTAACTAATAAAATTGCTAATCTTGAAGCCGTTAGTACAACCCCCACCAAGGCATCTAAAAAGAAAAGTTCTATCTTTGACATGTCTAAAAAGGATGCCTCTATTTCTTGTAATGATTTATGTTTAGACTCATCTTTGTGCAACCGAGTTTGTATTGAGAAAATTGTTGTAGATACATGCACACAAGAGGTTGCAAAGGAGAATGAGCAACTCAAGCAAGAAGTAGCTCGTCTCACTAAGGACTTGACTCAAGTGAAAGGCAAGGCGAAGCAAACCCAACTTTATCAAGATAACACCATCAAAGGAGTGAAGAAGCTTGATGAAGGACAAACCGTGATTTGCTACGTGTGCCACAAGGAAGGTCACAAGTCCTATGAGTGCAAGGTGAAGAATAGGGGAGGAGCAAAGAAGAAAGAGAAAAAGCAAACAAGCAAGCTCTCCAATACCTACACCAACAAGGTGGACAAGAAGGCCTCCACACCATACTTGTTAAAGAAGAAGAAAACTGATAAGGTGGTGGCCATCAAGGTGAACAAGCAAGTCAACAATGGGGTCAAACGCTTTTGGGTGCCAAAGGAAATCATTTCCAACATGAAGAGCACCAAGAAGGTTTGGATCCCGAAAGAGAAGTGAGAAGTCCGATAGACTTCGGAGAATTTGGAGACTTGGCAAAGTATGGATGCATTACATGGGGTGCATCGTGATGGACAAAATTGTTGCCAAGTGGGTTAGTGAATACTATGGACCCAAATTCCCCTTCCCATGTTAGGTAGCTAGATGTTATTACTTTCAATTGGTATTTCATTCAAGAAGTATCAATTTACATTTCCTACAAGTGGTATTTCTTACAAATTGATATCTTTAAGCATCTAGTTACTTTTCATGCCTATGTTTGCATTTGCATGATTATTTTTTGTCATGCATACACTAGGTATATCTTATGGTAGGCTTGCTCGGTTTCATTCTTAACCCTTGGAGCAAACATGCATGGTTTAAAATTGTTTAGGAGCATGGCACATAGCTTGTCTTTCATTTTTTCATCTAATATGTGCCAAAGTCCAAATTATAGATAATTTCTCCCAAATATCGCCTTCGAAAATGACTCTCACATTCATGTGATGTCATCTTTCAAGTGGTATTTTTTATTCTAAAATCAATGTGCATGTTTCCTACAAGTATTCCATACTTGTGTGCACAAATTTAGGGGGAGGTTACTCTACAAGTTGGATGTTTTGAGACTAACACCTTTTCAAGTTTATCATGTGTGCAGTTTTCTCATTGCAAGGAAAATGGAGTCCCCGAAGTTAAGCATCATACTTTAAATATCCACCACCTATTGCAAGTGGTAGAAATCAAATTGGTTTCCACATATGGTATTTCTAAATCGATATCATCATGTTGATTTTATTTTGATATTTATATGTTTTCTCCATGCATTATATAGATTAAATTCCATTGAGCAATAATTTACCAATTATGCATATGTCTTCTACCATATGTATGCATATATTTAGGGGAGCTTAATCTATATAATGTGAGTCAAATTTTGTGACCTATTCCACTCTACACACAAAGGTTCACAAAGTTTGACCCTCCCTTGTGCTACTAATGTCTTCCTTTTCGGTGTTTGATTCTAAAGAGAGAATTTAGAGGACCAAAAGCTATATCATAATATTTACAAGTGGTAATGGTCTACAAGTGGTAATGGTCCGAGAAAGGAAGGATAGTAGATTATGAATTAGTCTATGTAATGGGGAGAATTTATAGAAAGCAAGGCTTAAATCCATAATACCACATGGGGACATTTGAAAGGACAAGATAAGTTTTTATGTGGTATTCTTTAGTTTTACAAGTAGTATCTTTTAGCATCATATAACCTTACCCCTTGCATTGCATCCTACCAAGTAGGTAGTTTTCAAATTTCAAAATACTATTATTTGCTTGTTTTGGTCGTGTTGTCATCAATCACTAAAAAAGGAGAGATTGTAAGGAAAATTGACTCTAGGTCCATTTACTTTGGATTTTGGTGTTTGATGACCAACACAACCAAGTTGAACTAATGAATTTGCAAGTGATTGTTTTGTAGTTCAATAGGGTGCAAGACGTGACTTGGACAAAGGCGACGTGATGATCCGATGATCAACACCATAAGCAAGACCCTAGGAGCACAAGAGAAAACCCAAGATATCAAGCAAAGTCCAAGCATGAAGATAGGAACCGAGCCGGACGCAAGATCGCGAAGATACGAGCTCACAGAGGTGACCGAACGCTGGAAGGCGATTGACCGGACGCTCCGATCAGTGACTCGACTACAGTAGGCGTCAGCAGCAGTGAACGGACGCTGACGGCAAATCGACCGGACGCAGTACTACAGCGTCCAATCGAGTACAAAAAGGATCCAGAGCGGCGAAATTGCGACCGGACGCGTTCGGTGGCATGTGACCGGACGCTGGCAGCGTCCGATCAGTTGATCGCGGCTCTAACGACCGGGACAATCGGACGCGTCCGGTCAGGACGTGATCAGCGTCCAGTTAGTAGCAGAAAAGCAGGATTTCGTCCCCAACGATTAATTTCTCAGTGGGACTTATAAATAGACCCCCCAACTGGCCATTTGAAGAGTGTGGACCTGAGAAAACATATCAAATGTGTTGATACACTATTTTAGTGATCTCCACTTATATAGTGCTTAGTGATTCATTAGGTGATTAGCGTAGGTGTTTTGCGAAGTGTTTAGGTTGATTAGAGCACCGCTTATGCGCTTGCTCTAGGTTTAGGCCTAGTGTTTAGTGAGGTTTGCATACATCTTACCACTCGGTGCTTGCGCACACCATTGTTGTACATCGGAGGGGCTTGTAGTCTTGCGAGATCACACCAACCGCGTTTGTGGTGTGGCCGCCACCATGTACCGGAGGAAACAAGGTCCACGACGTTTCGGCCGGAAGCTTGATAGTGAAGACGGCGGGGAGCATCCGTGAGAGGTTTGCCGGAAGGCACGTCGGAGACCCACTTGCGCGTGGGGAAGGCCCGAGGTTATCCACAGAGTTAACCGACCGGGAGCTTGGCCCTTGCAAGGAATTCCTTGCGAGGGGCTCCAACAAGGACTAGGGAGAAGCTTGCGTGCTTCTCGATACCTCGGTAAAAATACCAGAGTCATCGACGGAAGTTTGCATATCTCTACCTTGCTCTTCAGCTTCCGTATTTACATTGATTGTATTACTCATTTTGCGGTAGAGATAGCAACACACTAACAAAACCATATGCGCACATTTAGATAGTTTATCTTTTGCATAGGTTTTGCTAGGGTTAGAAAAAGATACCATAGTTTAGAGTTAGAATTTTAGGTTGCCTAATTCACCCCCCCTTTTAGGCGTCACGGTCCCCTACACCCTCAACGAAGTCCATCGAAATGATTTCCCATGAAGCCTTAGGCACAGGCAGTGGCTGCAGCAAACCCGAGTATTTAGAGCGATCAGGTTTGGCTTGAGCACAGGTAACACAGGCCTGAACAAACTGCAGAACATCGGCATGAAGGCCAATAGAAAAGCTGGCGCAACTTCTGAGCTCCGGAGTGACCACCGACTGGACTATTATGCAAAGCAGCCATCACACGGGACTGAGGGCGCGTTCGGCTGATTTGAAAATTTCAGACCAGCCGGCTGCTTCTCCTCACATGCTACAGTACAACTTCCAGTCGCTACAGTATGTCTTTCTCACACAACCAGCCGCTACAGTGTTTTTGCTTCTTTTTCCAGACAAGCGAACGGGGCCTGAAGCACTTTGTTTGAGCCCAGCTAGATCCGCTGCTTGAATCTGATGATGTCGTTGCGCAGGGAAAAAGGAGAAGAGTCCTCAGACTGTAGAGCAAGCCTAGCCAACAGTGACTGAGCCTCCTCATCGTTGGCGTACCACTGCTGGAGCTCAAGCAACCAATCGTGCAATGGGGAAGAGATTGCGAGCACCTCAGTAGGGTGATTGCGGCGGGACAGAGCGTCCGCTACACCATTCTCGGCACCACGACGGTATTGAATCTGGTAATTAAGACCGAGCAATTTGGTGAAGGCTTTCTGCTGCCACGGGGTGTAGAGACGCTATTCATTCAGGTGCACCAAACTGCGCCGTGTGGATAACGAACTCATTTTGCAACAAGTAGTGCCGCCACTGATCTACCGCCATCACAATAGCCAGGTACTTTTTTCCTAGACAGAAAGGCCTCGGTTGCGCGGGCTGAGTGGTTTGCTGAGAAATGCCAAGGGGTGTCCATTTTGCATCAACACCGCACCAACTCCATTCCCGGAAGCATCAGTTTCAACATGGAATGGCTGTGAGAAATCTGGAAGTGCCAACACCGGCGCTGAACTGAGCGTTGTCTTGAGAGCTTGGAAACCCGACTGATGCACTGACGTCCAGATAAACAGAGCGTCCTTCTTGAGCAATTCAGTGAGTGGTTTTGCCATGAGACCAAAGTGGCGAATAAATTTACGGTAATACCCCGCTAATCCAAGAATGCCCCGTAGTTCCTTAACTGATGTTGGCACCGGCCACCGTTCAATTGCTCTGATCTTGGCGGGATCAGTTGACAGACCCTGCTCGCTGATGACATGCCCCAGATAAGCCATAGACTGCTGAGCAAATTTACACTTGGACAGCTTAATTTTCCAGCTATCGGCTGCAAGCCACTGAAACACCGCAGCAAGATGACAAAGATGCTCCTCATAAGTGCGGCTTAGACTAGGATATCATCGAAAAACACGATGACAAATTTGTGCAACCCAGGTGCCAGAGTGACATTCATCGCGCCCTGGAAGGACCCTGGAGCGCCTGTGAGGCCAAACGCCATGACGCGGAATTCATACTAGCCAAGATGCGTCTGAAAGGTCGTATTGTGTTCTTCTCCTGGTTGCAAAAGAATTTGATGGAATCCGGCTCTCAAGTCCAGGTTAGAAAACCAGCTGGCATGCGTGAGTTCGTCCATCAGTTGGTCAAAAACACGAACCGGGAACTTGGACTTAGCTGTGATGGCATTGAGCTGTGAAAATCAACACAAAATTTGTATGTTCCATCTTTTTTCTTGACTAGGAGCACCGGTGAAGAGAAGGGACAAGCACTTGGCTGAATCAACCCTTGAAATAACATATCAGCCACCTGACGCTCTATCTCATCTTTGAGACCCGGAGGATACCGGTATGGTCTTGTAAATACTGGCTGAGCCCCTGGAATAAATGGAATACGGTGATTACAGGCACGTGATGGGGGCAGCTCAGTAGGTGCTTCAAACAGGTGATGAAACTGATTGAGCAGCTGCCGAATCTCCGGAGGAACATCATCATGAAGTGACTCGGTGGGCTCAGGATCTTGCACAGCACAAAGCTGGAGATACAAATGTGATGGACTGACCGAGTTGAGCCCCTGAAGCAAAACCGACTGCCCCTGATATGGGATAACAAACCACTTCTGCAACCAATCCATCCCGATGATAACATCATTAGCAGAGAGTTGCAGCACTCTGAAATTAGAGCGAAAGACACACTGATCCACAGACCATTCAATATCCATCAAGAGGCCCGGACTGTGAAGGATACCGCCACCAACAACCTGTACTTGAGTCGGAGCAGCTAGCACAGACACGGCAGACAACTGCTCGGCCACAGACAAACTGACAAATGAAGCTGAACTCCCTGAGTCGATCAAGATACGCACAGGGCAGCGCACCACCACCCATTGAACTGAATGGCTCTAGTAGGAGTTGAACTTTGCAGGGCAGCCTTAGAGATTGCCAAGAACACCTGCTCTTCGCTGCACTCAGGGCCACTGTCCTCAGGTGAACAATCATCGTCATCCTGGAAATCTTGCTAGATAGCCTCGACAGCGAAAAGAACCTTCGGGGAACAACGATGGTCCTTGGACCACTTGCCGCCACACTTGAAACAGAGCCCGAGCGCTCGACGGTAAGCTTTCACCGCCTTGAGAGTAGAGTCAGTGGACGATGTTGCCGCCACAGCTTGGACAGCAGGTACTGGGGCCTTCTCCATCTTGGGCGGGGGCGGCAAGGGCAGAGGAGTCTTGACCGGCGGCAGAGACTTGAATGGCGAGGAGCAATCACCAGAGCAGAACGGCTTCGACGGTGAAGAAGCCACCTCTTCCTGCAACAATGCAAGGCGACAAGCAGTATCAAAGTTTGGGGTCTTTGAACAACCACAATTGCACGAATGTCATGGCGAAGCCCATCCATAAATCGAGTGGTGAAAAACAGGGGATCAGATGAAGGAGAATAAACCGTTAGTTGGTCCACCAGTTGGGAAAAGGCAGAAACATAGGCAGACACTGTGGTTTGTTGGCGGATGTTGAACATTTGGCGAAGGAGAGATTCGTGCGGGTCTCGATCGAAACGATCATGCAAGAGTTGACAAAAGGATTCCCAAGTGATCGAAGGCAATTGGGGAGTGGTCAGCAAGCTGAGGTGGGGGGTTACACGAATACGGCGGCGGAAAAACAGGATGAACAGGATGAGAATCGGAGGACGTACCCTTGGCCGGGATAGGGAGCCAGGTCGTAACGATCCCGGGTCCCGTATCCCGTGTAGTCGGCTCAACGCGGCGCCCAAACACGGGCAGTTCGGCAGGGAACCCGTCAGACGAGTTCGCAGCCGCCTTGGTTGAAGAGTTGTTGACGCTGTGGCCGTGCGGCAGTTCGTCGAACACAGCGCGGACCTGAGTCTTCGCCATCTTCTGGACAGCAATCCGGATGTCATCGAGGACGCCATCCACGCCGGGACGCCATGCGCACAGCTCCTAGGTCGCCGACTCCAGCGTCGCTAGGCGATCGTCCCGCGCACCCTTGATGGGAACGCCGCGCAGGGACTCCAGCTCCGAGAGGCGGGAGGCGAATTCGGCGTCGCGGTCGGTGTAGTTGGCTTGGAGCGTGGCGAGGCGGCTCTCGACCGCAGCGACCTGTGGATCCGCCGGGGCTGCCTCCAGATCCGCGACGCGGCGAGCAGGTCAATGGAAGCGGCAGCGTGAGATGCCTCCATGTTGTCGAAGCGGAAGTCGACGGCGGCGAAGCGCTTGGACAGGCTGCGCTCCAGATCAGAGAAGCGTCGGTTGAGGCTGGCCTCCTGAACATCGAACCGGCGATTCAGACCGGTAATCTCATCGAGGATGAGCCGGAGATTGGACTCCATAGCGCCGCGGGATCCTTAGAATCTGGTGTAGTGTGGGTGGGGAGGTGGGTTGGGTTCCAGGATTGGACGAGTCTCCGATACCAATTTGTTAGCAGCCGGATCAGAGAAGGGAAGGAGGAAGGCATGGGCAGGAAGAAGAATAGGAGAGGAAGGACGAGTTCTTCGTTTAGAGTTCAGAACAGTGTTCACAATTCGATGATCCTTCCACTCTTACAGTAGGACGCCTAAATACATCATCTATTTGGACCACTCTGGGCCGGACAGCATACGGTTGGGCTCAGTCTTCCTCTTGGGCCGTGCGGCCTCGACAGCTTCTTGTTTATCATTGGAGCCCAGCACCTCTTCAGTTGGAGTAGCTTGGCCATCGCTGACAGAGGGTATCCTAGGATCTTGATTATCCATTTTTTAAAAATAAAAATGAAAATTTTAAATAAAGCAGCTAAATTACGGCCGGCCGTAATATAGCCTCTCCGCACGGCCATGCCATATTTGGTAAAAAGTGTAATTATTATATTCTTTTTCTAATCACGCTGGCTTGTTGCGCGCGTGTGGAAGAAGAATTTTCCACCGTACGTAACCGAGCGACTTAAGCGGTCTAGGCCCAGACCACGGTTATTATGGGCAAATCAGGCACAGATATACGTTCAAAAAAAGAGACATGTAGTAAGCTTCTCATAAGACTGATTGGCTATCCTATCGCAGAAGAACACATTTGCATTTGCAAGTTTCCTAGAGCACAACACGATACATCTACCTAGGAAAGCACCCATTTACGCAGCACAACACTGATTGCCCTACATCTTGCTCGTCTGTCCATAGCCTGCATCCTGCATGTTATGTTAAAAAAGGATAACATGTGTCATAAGTTTGTCCAGCCGGATGGCCTTTTTTACCAGTAAGAAAAGGCTAAATTACCTATTCAGAGGCCCATTGTTGCCTAACAAATGACACTTAAATTGTCTAAAAAAATGCAAAGGTGCTAACATGGGGCTGCTAGGAAAATAGGTAACACCGGATTGCTCACCTTCGCGTGCTGTCATCCATGTTTTCCCTTGACCATAGATATATCTGCACTTGACCATAGATGGCCCCACCGCTTGCAACCACAGCTCCACCCGGAACGTGGCTCTGCCCGCCTTAGCTTTGCCCAGCACCTGGCAAGGAGGCGGCATAGAGGACACTGATTAACCATTCCGAACAGTTGGAAGGCAACACAGACTGCACAGGAATGATCTTGTTCAATTGATAAAGCCCAGGGCGTACCACTGGTCTTCAAATTGATGAAGCCTAACACAGACAAACAGACGACTAATCGTATAAAAGAAATACGTGTGTAACAAAACAGTGCATTGAACTGTTAAAATATACATGTGTAAAAGTATGATGTAGCAACTGAAAAGAAGTACCTAAAAGTGCTAGGGGATAATCCTGGAGCCTCTATTGGTTCTGAGCAGGTTGCTGCTGGTAATGGTGTAGTGGATTGCATTTTATTAGGCAATTTAAGTGTCATTCACTAGGCAAAAATATCTTCCTAAATAGGCAATTTAAGTATTCTGAAAAAAGCAAAAAGTATGCATGCACAAAAAAGAGTTTTTGTCATTACAGTTGTATGAGCATGAAATGCAATAATTATTGATGGAAACAACTAGCTCTAAGCAAATATCCATGTCGAAACAATTTAATTCAAAATACTTGTCCGAAAAAAATCATGATTCAACTAGTCCTATGCATAAAAGCACAAACACTAGAACAATATTTTAAAAAACACAGATGCACATTTTTCACTAGAGGCAGGCTTTCTCCTTGTTCCCCATGGAGATTGCAGGATTAGCGGCTGCATTGTGTTTGCTTGCTGCCTGCAACTTGCTCTGTAGTTCTGCAGCACTGTTCCTTTTATGCCTTCGGTGTTTTCAGCAAGGGTTGTGACTGACTAACTGATTGACTGTGAGTGAGTGATGCCTCTCACCCCAACACAGTGCACTTCCATTCAGGTTTCAGCAGAAAATTAATATGCTGGATGCAAAGATAATATACTAGCATCATGGTGCCGGTAATCTATCATTAACCACTGGCTCATGTCAACTCTAAAAAATATAGGCACATGTATTGATTACATTACACAGATCTAGTATTTTGATTAGGCTCAAGTGTACTAAAATCCAGCATATTGGATCCACCATCATGGGAATAAACAAAAGATCATCCCAAATGGCTTTAGTTCAGGTATATAAGCAAGTCAAATTTGAAGCAATTGAGCCTATTAGGAAAAAGTTCACGCTGACATGCAACTGATATAATAAAGCAATAAAAATGCACCATCATAACAAACTTCCCCATGTAGAAATTGCAGCCTGTGAGCATTTCAGTTATATAATTTCTGCCTATGTAGAAATTACATGCCTGTGGGCTAATCTATTGGTTTGAACTGAGCAATTACACCAATTCAGAGTACAAACTGTGGTGTCAAAAAAGAGTATACTAATCTTAATGGGTAATGGCGAGGAACTCGCCTTCTTAGAATGCATCGTTGCTGGCAACAAATCAACACCTCCCCTACCCCCCTCCCATGCCCACGAACGCATCGGTAATATAGAAAATCGATGCATTCATAACAGCAAAGTAGGTCCAGCAGAAAACTCGCCCGAAATTTGCGGTCAACAACAGGGCTGCACTCGTGCCGTGGGACAGGGGCATACCCATAAGATGCACGATTGCTTTAATCATAAGCAGTAAAAAAACTAGATAAATTCTATATGAATAGCATAAGAACCGGATTAGCTCCAAGACAAATCACATGTAATTCCTCCTATAGGAAACAATAGGGGCGTACCCAGTGCAGAGAGCTCCTGCTCTATGCGGGGTCTGGGGAAGGGTGTCAGTGGCAAGCCTTACTCTCGCCTGTGCAATGCGAGGAGACCGTGACTCGAACCCGGGACCTTCCGGTCACAGGCGGTAAGACTCTACCGCTTGCACCAGGCCCGCCCTTCTCCCATTGGAAACAATATCAAAAAGAAAAAATGGTCCAAATTGAAAATATCAGCATATATGCCCAATAACAACGACATGCATGTCAGATTCAAGCTCTACTTGTTCTAGTAGATCCAACATAAAGGGGGGGTCTATGCAAACACACCTACTTGAAGAAAATATAGTGCCTACACCAGATGTGGTATTTTGATTGGCCTAATATATTGGTTTGAACAAAGCAAGTATGCCAATTCAGAGTACGGGTATGTGAAATTTCAGTACACTGCACGCTGCCATCCATGGGCAGTCATTTCCGGCAACTCACTCATCTATAACTATGTTTCTCCTACTTACTAATTAGCTACATCAGTTTCACTTATTTCTATGTGCAAAATGGACACAAATTAGCGGCCTACAGTTGTATTCAATGATCTGTGCTCACCATTCAGTTTGTGCTTTATATATGTTGGTAAACTCACGTACATCTGGTACTAGTGTTGTGTATCATTTACTGGAAGCCCAAAACCATCTAATCTTCCAAAAATCGCGATCATGCCTAGGCATGCAAAACTAATGAATGGAATCCACAGGAAACGAGTCACAGCACTGCAAGGGGAAAAAACAGGGAGCACTCATCTGTACGTGATGTGCGCAGGAGCAGGTGATGAGTACCATCTCCCTGTTCTGGAACGACGCCAAAGCGGCACCGTCGCCCGTGGAGGCGGGCTCGGCATCGGGGCCGGGTCCTTGAAGGCTTGAAGCCGAAGAGCGTGCGCTCTGGCGCGGAGTCGTCGGGCTTCTCTGCGCCAGCGTGGATGGGACAGGGCGGGCTCCGCACGGCGGGAGTGAGGCATCGCGTCGTCGTCGTCGCCTCTTTCCTCCACATCGGATGTCAGCCAGCGAAATCGCTAGCCGTTGGGGACACCCTAATAATCACCGATGTACACTAGTAGCTAATAGTAAATTTATATAGCGACTGTCAAATTTTATAGGGGTCGGCTGACCCCAACTTAGTTTTTGAGACACTAAACAATTTTGAAATGAATAACTTGAAAAGAGTTATATACCACGGAGTGCTCTACAATTCTGATTAAATCATGTCAATATCCGAGTCGTTAAAATAAAATTATTTTAAATCAGAAAATTTAGAATACAATTTTAGGATTTTCTTTTAAAATAGAAAACTTGTTTGCTGGACGGACGACACGGCTGGGCCATCCAGCCAATCCCGGCGAGGACTGGTCCCATCAAGAATCCATCCAGATGCGGACGATAGTCAAAAAAAAACATCCGCCACAATGGAGATTCGTACGCCCCGCCACCGCCACCGCCACCCAACTAATCCGCCAGCTAACTGCCACCTTTTTTTCTTCCATTCAATCCCCAGAGGTAGGACGGCCGTGGCAGCTACAAATGGAGTAGAAGTACCTCTTCACCATCGTGTTCATCGTGAGTTCAAGTAATCCTAGTCTTGCTTTGGAACGATCCAAGGTTTTACCATTTCAACTATTGTGCTACATATCCGTCCTAAAGAGATCCCGTTCTGAGTTAATTGATTAAGTTTGTAAAAAAGATTCTTAATATTTATGAATTCAAATGATTGTCTAATGAGTATTTAAATACTTCTCGTTTATAGATTTAGTTAAAATTATAAATCGCCCGTTTAGAGGAGGGAGTACTATATTTTGCTCAACTCCACCACTTTCTCAAAAGAACATATCACAGATGCTCGTACTCAACTTCAAGCGCGTACAGTCACATCAATCTTATAAATTCACACGCACACATCCAAACAAGAACATTCAAGATGGCGGACTGGCACATCTTCGGATTGATGAAGTAATATGGTATTGCCTCTATATATTAACCAAGCATGTGTCTTTAATTATGATTTGATGTTTTCAATTGTATATACAAAAAACACAGTTAAGAAATAGACTTAGATAAATCTCAATCAATATATTGATTATTTCTGGAAAGTTGCACACGCCGGTATCAAAGCTAGTTATCAAGCTAAGTACAACTCATATGTAGTCTAGAAGATGGCACCTCCAATGAAGGGTTGCTGCCAGGACAAGGCAGGGTTCATCAAAGATATCTGGTTGAATGGCAACAATTGTTGCTGCTGCAGGAAGGCAGCAACCCATGGTTTAGCAAATGCCAGTGGGTTAACTAGAAGCAGCTGTTGTTGTTGCAGGCATGCAGCGGTGTTCGCCACAGCTAGCTGGTTGAATGGAAGAAGCTGTTGCTGTTGCAAGTAGGCGGTAGGGTTCGCCATGGCTAGTTGTTGCAGGTATGCAGCGGCGTTGGCCGCAGCCAGTGGGTTGGATGCAAGCAGGTGTTGTTGCAGGTTGGCAGCAGGGTTTGCCACGACTATTGACTAACCGCGAATACGACCTGTTGCAGTTGTTGTTGTTGCTGGTATGTAGCCACGTTCACCAGAGCCAGTGTCAACTATGTCGGATAGGATATTACATTTGTTTTTATATTTCTGTCCAGATTCGGATTCGAATACGAATAGTGTCAACCATGTCGGATAGGATATGATTTAAGATCGACATCATAAATATGCGATTTGAGTATTCGAATACAGATACGGTGTCGGATGTTGAATACCCGGACTCGGATATGGACAGATCTAAACCCCTCTAAACGGATTCGGTCTCGAATACGATCGGAAAATATCCGTACTATTTTCACCCCTAGTAATAGCCATAACAGGGCCGAGGAGGTAATTACTCGTGCTGAAGAAGAACTTGCGCTTGCCAAGTTGATTAGGCGTGGAGCTGACATGGATCTTGTGCACGTCCAGAAAACTATTGAGGTCTTGACTGGCAAGTTGGCGACGGCTACTGAGAACTGGAACGCTTTGTGGAAATCTTTTCGGTCAGTAGCTGATCTTCTCAGGACTCCAGCAGATGACGGCCAATCTTGGGCTCAGTTTATCCCCCAGGTGCCGACCCTTTTCCAGGAGTTCGTGAAAAGATGCGCCCAACTCTGCACCAAAAATATTCTTGCCCAGGTCCGGGTTCTTGCTCCGGAGGTCCCTTTGTCCAAGGTTGCAGAGGAAGCCGAGAGTCAAGAGTACCTGGATGCTATTGAAAGGGTGGAGCCTAAGGTCGAAAAATTAGCCTGGAGGATTGTTGATAATCTTAGTATTAATATTTCTTCTCCTGATGACGATGCTTGATTTGATTGTAATTGACCTTTGTACTCCAACCTTTGTAACAGGAAATTATACTCCTCTTTGAATGAAGATTTTTTATTTTTCGTTGTACCTTCCTTTTGTTTCTTTGTATGAATTTTTTTGCCTTGTTTATTCTTTAGACGAGTTGTCCAAGCGATCATAATTTTTTTCCGAGTAGTCTCTTATTGGGCGTGGTATGCATCCACAGCTTAGAGTGGTCGTGTTTTTTCATCCGTTGGAGGATGTCTCCTTGATACATCGAGCGCTTGTCTAGCTTTCATCTGAGTTGTGTAAACAACTTAGGGTAAGTCAATCGTTGGCTTGACAGAGTTCCTTGATTTGTCGAGTGCTTGTCTGGCTTTCATCTGCGCCGTGTAAACAACCTGGGGTATGTAGATCGTTGTCTTGACAGAGTTCCTTGATTTGTCGAGTGCTTGTCTGGCTTTCATCTGCGCCGTGTAAACAACTTGGGGTATGTAGATCGTTGTCTTGACAGCCTTCTTAGTCTCGTCAGTACTGAAAAGACTTAGGACCGGCAGGCTCAAGCATCTTTTCAGCTATTTCGCTCTCATCTGGTGAGCTCAAGCATCTTTAGCTTTTTTGTTCTCGTCCGGTGAGCTCAAGCATCTTTTCAACTTTTTGCTCAACTCTGGATGTGGCCAGCATCTGGCACTTGCCCTGGTTGTGAAAACAACTCAGGACCGGTTTGGGTGTTAGCTTATCAGCTTTCTTACCCTCATCGGCGGGCTCAAGCATCTTTTTAGTTTTTTTTGCTCTCGGTAAATGATAGGCTCGGTGCATAATTTCATCCATTTTGCTCTTTGTCCGGTGAGCTCAAGCATATTTTTAGCTTTTTGCTCAACTCGGGGAGGTGGCTGCGTCTAGCACTTGCCCTGGTTGTGAAAACAACTCAGACCGGTTCGGTGTTAGCTTATCGACTTCTTACCCTCATCGGCGGGCTCAAGCATCTTTTTAGTTTTTTTGCTCTCTACTGTGGCTCATGCATAATTTTAGCCATTTTGCTCTTTGTCCGGTGAGCTCAAGCATCTTTTTAGCTTTTTTGCCCAACTTGGGATGTGGCTAGCATCTGGCACTTGCCCTAGTTGTGAAAAACAACTCAGGACCGTTCGTGTTAGCTTATCGACTTTCTTACCCTCATCACGTGGGGCTAAGCATCTTTTTCACTTTTTTGCTCTCGACCGGTAGGCTCAGGCTTAATTTTAGCCATTTTGCTCTTTGTCCGGTGAGCTCAAGCATCTTTTCAGCTTTTTTGCTCAACTCGGGAGGTGGCCAGCATCTGGCACTTGCCGTGGTTGTGAAAACAACTCAAGACCGGTTCGGGTGTTAGCTTATCAGCTTTCTTACCCTCATCGGCGGGCTCAAGCATCTTTTCAGCTTTTTTTCTCTCAAATTGTAGGCTCAGGCATAATTTAAGCCATTTTGCTCTTTGCCCGGTGAGCTCAAGCATCTTTTTAGCTTTTTTGCTCAACTCAGGAGGTGGCCAGTATCTGGCACTTGCCCTGGTTGTGAAAACAACTCAGGACCGGTTTGGGTGTTAGCTTATCAGCTTTCTTACCCTCATCGACGGGCTCAAGCATCTTTTTAGCTTTTTTTTTGCTCTCCGTCGGTAGGCTCAGGCATAATTTCAGCCATTTTGCTCTTATTTTGTTTTGAAAACAACTCGGGGCAAGCCATAATAAGACAAATGTTGTCGAGGAACACCATCTTTATTGATCGTGAATGTTGATCTCTTGTGGCTTTTTTTATATAGATTTTTCCTTGAGTTGTTTTCATGCGTAGAATCTTCTTAGTTGGCTGATGTGCCATGTATTGTTGACTTCTGTTCCATCTTTAGTCATCAATTCGTACGTGCCTGGTCCGGTGACTTTTGCGACAATAAAAGGACCTTCCCACGGGCTGAGTAGTTTATGGCGTCCATCAGTTTTTTATATTCTTCGTAGTACTAGGTCTCTGATTTGGAGTGATCGAGGCTGGGTACTCTTGTTGTAGTGGCGTCTTAAACCTTGGAGGTATCGAGCTGATTGAAGGGTAGCATTTACTCTGACTGCTTCTGTGCTGTCGAGTTATAATCTCCGGGTGTGTTCTGCTTCTCCTTCATCATATTGCTCTATCCTTGGTGATGTCCAGATCAGGTTGGCAGGTAGTACAACTTCTGATCCGTAAACTAGGAAAAAAGGTGAGTATCTAGTGGCTCTGCTTATTTGAGTTCGTAGCCCCCCATACTACTTTGGGCAATTCTTCAATCCATTTGGATCCATAGTCTACTAGTTCTTCATACAATCTGGGTTTTAATCCGGCTAGTATGAATTCATTAGCCCTTTCTACTTGTCCGTTAGCTTCTGGATGTGCGACCGATGCATAATCTATGCTGAAGCCGCAATCCTGTGCCCAACTTTGGAATTCTGTAGCTGTGAAGGGAGAACCCAAATCTGTGATGATTCGATTGGGCATGCCGAAGCGGTGCATAATGTCTTGGATGAACTCGACTGCTTTGGCTGCGCTATATTTCGCGAGTGGTTTGTATTCAATCCACTTGGTAAACTTGTCAATCGCTACAAAGATGTACTCGAAACTGCCCTTTGCTTTCTTGAGAGGTCCTACTTGAACCAGCCCCCAGTAGAAGAAAGGCCAAGCGGGTGGGATGTAGATGAGATTGTAAGCTGGGACGTGAACTTATCTTGCGAATATTTGACAACCTTTGCATTTTCCGATGAGTTCTTCTGCGTCTTTCAAAGCGGTTGGCCAGTAGAACCCGGTGTGGAATACTTTGCCGACTAGTGTTCTTGAAGCGGCATGATTTCTACAGCAACCTGAGTGTATTTCGTCTAAGATCTCTTTGCTTTTTTTAGATGAGACACATTTTAGGAGTACTCCTGATGGTGCGGCTCTTCTGTAGAGTTTGTCTCCTACTAGGACGTAGTTCTTGCTTCTGCGAACAACTCGGGTAGCTTCTTCTTTGTCTGCTGGCAACTTATTTTCTTTGATATAATCAATAAAAACTTGGGTCCATGAGGTGGTGATTACCAAAATCTGGGTGCCTTTAGCTAGGAGTTCAGGGGTTATCTCACCGGGTTGTTTGATAGAGGGAGCTGATAACTCCTCTATGAATACGCCGGGTGGGACCTTCGCCCTGTCCGATCCGAGCTTGGCGAGGACATCCGCTGCAATATTTGAATCGCGTAGGACATGTAGAATTTCTAAACCTTAAAAATGTTTTTTGAGTTTTCGTATTTCAGCGATGTAAGCGCCCATGTTGTCTTTGGTGTAGTCCCAATCTTTGTTGACTTGGTTGATGACTACTGCCGAATCACCGTAGACGAGTAGTCGCTTGATCCCGAGGGTAATTGCTACTCGGAGCCCGTGGATGAGGGCTTCATATTCTGCTTCATTGTTTGTAGATTGCCATAATATTTGAAGGACATATTTGAGTTGTTTTCCGTCTAGAGAGATGAAGAGAACGCCTGCACCGGCTCCGCCTAGTTTAAGTGATCCATCAAAGTACATCTTCCAATGGTCGAGGATGGTATTTGACATAGGTTGTTGAATTTCTGTCCACTCGGCAACAAAATCGGCAAGGGCTTAAGACTTGATTGCCTTCCGTGGGGTGAAATTGACGTTGAGAGCACCAAGTTCAACTGCCCACTTAGATATGCGCCCCGTTGCATCTCTATTGTGTATGATGTCTCTGAGTGGGAAATCTGTCACCACGGTAATCTTGTGGCTTTCAAAATAGTGGCGAAGCTTGCGGGAAGTGATCAGGAGGGCGTAGAGTAGTTTTTGTACATGCGGGTACCGGATCTTTGATTCTGATAGTACTTCGCTGATGTAGTATACGGGGCGTTGTACTTTATATACGCGCCCTTCTTCTTCTCTCTCTATGACTATCGCTGTACTGATTACAGTAGAAGTTGCCGCAATGTATAGCATCATGTCTTCGTATTTCTTTAGAGGTGTGAGGATAGACGAGGAGGTGAGGTATGCCTTAAGTCTTTCAAAAGCTTCCTTGGCTTCCTCTGTCCACTCAAACTTGTCCGTCTTCTTTAGTAGCTTCAAGAAAGGTAGCCCTTTTT